ACAAAAAACAATGCTGGGAGCCTATTTTTAATGGGCCGCTTAATTTTTTATTTTATTATAAAAATTTCTGTATTTGGTTACATGCAATGAACTTTACTGTGCTGTAATTCGAGAAGTACTCGTTCAATTTTTGATCAGCTTGCAGCGTTGCACTCCTTAGGCTCTCTAGCATTCATTTACATGTCATTGGTTATGTAATTCCAAGTACATACATTTTTACAGTTAAATATGTTAGAATTCTTTGTTTTCTTCATTTTTCTCAAAACTACAATTTTGTACACCCTGCATAAAAATTACTGCAATATAGCGGAAACTATTAGAGATAGCAGAATATTTTTTTTGCAGCATGAAGCTGTATGTTTGGAGCACTCAAAATAGGAAGCAGATTTTGATTTTTCTTGATGCAAGTTTTTTAAACTAGTCTTTTGTGTGACCACACAATGGCCACATTCAGAGCTGTGAAGTTTAGTGCACTGTAAAGTAAGAAATGACCCAATCAAAAAAGTGCTTCCTGTGTTATATGTTTTGTGCTTTCTACTGTCAATCTCTATGTCATTTATAAATTTTTGAGAGGTGGTTATTTTCCTATTGTGGTAAGAACAATAAAAATTGTTATCTTGCTTAAATAATTAGCTAATGAAGCTACAGAAAAATAACTACATTTTTAGAATCGGGAGAACAAACTAAGTAAGCATGCCAACATTTGTCACATTTGGTTCGAAAATACCGTAATTACTCGAATTTAACGTGCACCCCTTTTCTGGTTAAGTGAGTTAATAAATCGCATGCGTGTTAGAATCGAGTAAAAAAAAAATGAATACGGTCATTCTATTGCCATCGGCATTTCCCAAATGGCCGCCCCCTACGAGCGTCGGCATGTCGCGTTGGCCATTTCTGCGTATGTGTTTCCCATGTGCGACACTTCGTACGTGTGCCGAGAAGTTAGACATTTTGTAATGCATTAGCATCAATGGCATGGAAGGTCCGACTCCAAAAACTCGACAAGTGCGAGTTTTGAAAGAAAAGTCATTTGAAAGAAAAGTCATCGCGTGTGCAGAAACGGACGGAAATCGGCCGCATCGCGGTCGTTCGGAGTTCCCGAAACGTGCGTGCGGGACTGGCAGAAACAATAGGAGAAGATTGTCAACAGCGAAGCTTCACGCAAAGGCTTCAGTGGACCACAGCAGGGTCGGTTTCCGCAAATTGAAGAGCTGCTCGGTGAGTATGTGCTTGAGCAGCGAGCGGCACAGCGGCCCAGGACGACAAAACTGCTCCAAGTGCGGGCTATGCAGTTAGCCATTGAAAAAGGGCTAATGCGGAGCCAGTTTAAAGCGAGCAGGTGCTGGCTAACTACAGTAAAAGCTCCTTAATTCGAATTCCACGGGAACGCTGAGCAATTTCGAATTAAACAAAATTCGAAATAATGAAAGTGAGCAAAAATGGGTGGATTTCGGGGGTGGGGGCACGAAAAATATTTATTGGCCAAAAAAAAAAAAAGTCGGCGATGACCATCTGCTTCTTTTCTCTGAATGCTACAGCTGCGGCTCTCTGTTCCAGCGCGCGAACGCGGCGCAGGGAATCCTCTTCACCCTCTTCAAAGGTGAAGAAACGCGCCACATTAAGTGCCTCCATCACCGCAGAAGCTGACGGCGTGCAGGCGCTTCGTCTTCCTCACCTTCTGGCTCTTCAGCAACAGGCTGCACACCGGCTACTTGAGCGATAATGTCCTCATCAGTCAGGGCACCACACACCAGTGTCAACTTCAACATAATCGGCAAAACGTACGCCCCGAAGAGTGTCGCGCAATGCCACTCGCATGAGCTCCTCAGCCCCATCCACGTCGACGTCACAACTATCCTGCGCACCTCCAGCTGCAAATCCACTGTGGCGGAAACAGTTTGCGATTGTGGTCGCGGTCACCTGTTCCCATGCGTGCACCAACATGTGCATGGCAGTGATCAGCGTAATGCCGAAGTCCTTCCTGTCACCCGTGCACAAAATCATTCTCTCCAGCACGTGTCGCCTATAAAAGCACTTGATGTTCCTTATCACACCCTGGTCCATTGGCTGTAGGGCCGCAGTCGTATTTGCTGGAAGGAACACTAACTTTGTTGCTCTCAGCTCAACGTCGGCTTTGTGCGCCGAACAGTTGATGACAAGAAGAACGCGTCTGCCGCCCAGTTCCATTCGCCTGTCGAATTTCAGTAGCCACTTCATGAATGGGTCACCTGTCATCCAGGCTTTCTTGCTTGCGGCGTATTGCGCCGGCAGTGACCGAATGTTTTTGAAGCACCGTGGCTTGGGTGCTTTGCCAATCACAAAAAGGGGGACCTTTTCGGTACCGGTCATATTTGCGGCGACCAGAACAGTGACACGCTCTGCTGCGCTTGCCGCCGGCACAGCTGTCTCCCTCGTAGGTGATCGTCTTGTCTGGCTGCAACTTGAAAAACAATGCTGTCTTGTCAGCGTTAAACACATCCTGTGGTGAGTAGCTCTACAAGTACTGCTGCAGGGTGTCGCTCCTCCAAGTTACGCATGTTTCGGCGTCCACTTTCTTTGCCTCGCAGTATAACGTGCGGAATACCAGATTGTGCCGCTCCCTGAAACGATGAAACCATTCCTCGGAGGCGACAAAGTCTTGAATGTCCAAGCGCAGGGCAAAATCAGCGGCCTTGGCCATGATGATAGGGCCGCTCAATGTGATACTCTGGGCTCTCATTTCTTTAACCAAGATAATCAAAGCTGACTCCAGTTCCGCGAACTTCACTGTCCTTAGCCTTTTTCGACTGGCGCCAAAATCCTCGGCTTCATAGGCGTTTTCAATGGCCGTCCTGTTGCGTATGTAGGTTGACAACGTGCTCGGAGGTATGCCGTGCTTCCTCGCAATTTCGTATTTGCTCGAGTTCTCTTGGTCAACCTCTAGCGAAATCTCCACCTTCTCCTTGATAGTCTCTGCGCAGTAGTTTCCCCGCGGCATCTTGCAACTTCGATACGGAATAAGACTGCTTGACGGCGTGAACGAACAACGTGCTCGAGGAACAAAGTGACGATGCCGAGTGCGACCTAGGACAGCTAGGACTACCCTGCCGACTCCTCAGCATCCTGCGGGTCCCGTGTATACGAGTGGCGTCAGGCGCTGAGATAGCGGGAGGGCTACGGAAAAAAAAAAAATTGCTCCCTGGATTTTGGAGGCCATATTTTGCTCGCCTTTTGCTCGGAGGCCACTTGAAGCTCGAAAAAAACCGGTCGTGCCACCTATCGTTCAGCCGTAAAAGCTTCCACTAGTGTTTGATGATGATGACGCTCCGCGGCGCGTGCTTCGAATTATCCGTAGAGGCAGCAATTTCCGTTCAAATTAACGAATCGTTTTACACATGGTCTATGCACTGCGGACCGCACTGCGGCGACCATTTCGAATCAATGAGGTGTGAATTAACGAGCTTTCACTGTATTTTTATGAAGAGGAAAGGCTTTTCCCTCCGAAGGCGAATGGGCATATGCGCAAAGTTTCCGGAGGAGTACGATAAAAAGCTTCACAGTTTTCAGAGGTTCGTCCTTAACTTGCGGCACAACAACGGCTACCTACCTGCTTGGGCAAATCGGGAGTGCCGATCAGACGCCTCTTTACTTCGACATGCCTGGCACCACAACCGCCGAGAAGAAGGGGGCGAAGCAAGTTCGCGTGCTGACATCGGGCCACATTGAAACTAGAGCGACGGCAATGCTCTGTTGCACGTCAGATGAGTACAAGCTTCCCCCGTACCTCTTATTTAAACGGAAGACTCTTCCGAAAGAAGCTGTTTTCCCGAGTAGTGTGATCATGTGGGCCAACGAGAAAAATGGGTGCGCGTTGCAATCGACGTCTTTTTTTTTTTTTTTCCGTCGTGGAAACCGGGTGCGCTTTACAATCGAGGGCGCGGTAGAATCGAGTAAATACGTTGAATGAGAGAGCCCCGAGACCCATGTCCCCCCTTAAGCTGAACCCTCTTTGCAAGTCCCCAGGTTTCTGCTCCGTAGCCAAGTACCGGCAAGATGCAGCTGTTATATACCTTCATCTTGAGGAATAGTGGCAATCCACCTGTCATGATTTCAGAGTGCTTGCCAAATGTGCTCCACCCCATTATTATTCTTCTAGTTACTTCAATCTCGTAGTTCGGCTCCGCGGTTATTACCTGCCCTAAGTAGACAGTCTTTTCACAACTTGAAGTGGACTATTGCCTATCTCGAAGTGCTGCTCTCTTCCGAAGTTGTTGTACATTACTTTCGTTTTCTGCAGATTGATTATAACACCCACCTTTCTGCTCTCCTTGTCTAACTCCGTAATCATGAGTTGCAATTCATCCCCTGAGTTACTCAGCAATGCAATGTCATCGGCGAAGCGCAGATTACTAAGGTACTCTCCATTAACTCTTATACCCAACTGTTCCCATTCTAGGCCTCTGAAAACCTCCTGTAAACACGCGGTAAATATTATTGGGGAGATTGTATCCCCCTGCCTTACACCCTTTATGATTGGTATTCTGTTGCTTTCTTTATGGAGTACTATGGTAGCAGTTGATCTCTTGTAGATTTCTTCCATGATGTTTATATATGCTTCATCGACGCCCTGATTCCGCAGTGTCTGCATGACTGCTGATATTTTTACTGAATCAAACGCCGTCTCGTAATCTATGAAGGCTATGTATAGTGGTTGGCTATACTCTGAGCATTTTTCTATTACCTGATTGATAGTATGAATAGTGTACCCCCTTAACTGTGTAACTTGTCATATCACATAGTGTGAGACCAAAGCAATCTGTTATTTTCACATTTCACCCAAACATCAATTATTTTCAGTTTTATCAGGGCTTGAGAGCTGGCCACACAGTTGATGTTCTTTGTTTTTTCGGTGATGTTTTGGGGTAGATTCGGAGCGGTTACAAACAAAGATCACAGTTTGGAGCAGCAGGTACATCACTGCGATAACCAGCTTCTGTCCCATAAAATAATTTCCCACTCACTTGCTGTTGGAGAGCGATGACGAGGAATGGGAGTGCTTCCGGTGGTGGTGATGATTCTGTCCGGTGGAAGAACCAGTGTTTGTGCCTCCACCAGAACCCGATGACGACCGATGGTGATGATGGCTGTGATGGTGATGATCGGGTCATTGTGCTTAGTCTTGGCCACGGCCCTCTTAAAAGACAACGTGCAGAGCCAGCACAGCAGCTTGCCTTCAACCTGAAAAATTGTTCATCATCAGCATTGATCCCTATACAACCACAATGGCTGCTACATAAAGGCAAAAACAAAATGCACAGAAACAAAGAAGTGACCCAGAATCATCGCCACGGTGTGAACAAACTTTGGCCTATAGAAGCATATACACAAACATTCTCAAAATTTAACATTTTCTGCAGATTTAAGCATGTACTGCCTCAAGTGTCTGTCAACAATTCGACACACAAAATCCCCTTCAGTTGGACTAACCGTGACAAAAGTGCAAGATTGCTTTTGCTTCTCCAAAACTGTCTTCACAGTACGATTCGTAATGGTCTAATAGATTCATAATAATACACTATTTGAAAGTGGTGAATATTTCTTACAGTTGCAATACAACAGATGCCTTAATGTGAAATGAGAAATTTTGGATGCAACTGAAGAACTCCAAAACAAATATGCTCAGGAAGAATAAAAAATGCAGTTGTTTAAAGCCACTCAGTTGATTAGACACTCACTTTTTACAAACAGCATGAGAACTATGAGTCAACAAAAATAAGCTCGACTCCTTTGACAAGGGGGACTTCACGTAGGCATCTTACCATTCGCACTAAATTTTTTAAGTAGATTTAAATTCAATCTCTAACCTTCGTAATTCGAAAGGTAAATAGCACTCCCCGTACTACACAGACCTGACCTACAGTTAAACCCCTTTATAAGAAGCATGCTCTGGGCAGCAATACTTGTCTTTTACGTGAGATGTCTCTTATAACCAGGATACCTCGTATGCATTTTCTTATCAACCCATATTTCACTGTAGGCACATGGGTGTCTCTCATATCAGTGTTGGCCATTTACATACATGAGTTACAAATAATGTTACTCATGTATGTAAACGGATGCCGCGTCAGGCTCAGGTTCGTTAGCGGGCTCAACTGTAATAGAATCATAGATCATATTTTCTCGACAGGTGTCTGTGCTCGTCATAATCACTGTGCTTTGAGCGCACTTGCAATTCGATGGGCAGCCCAATGAAGAGTTAAATCTTGAACCTGCAAAAGCTTTGGCTAAGACTTCTTAACCGGCACCACAACGTGCCAACACGCACCTTTCGCCGACTGTCATCCTTGCGGTCAAAGGCGCAGCGTTGCTTGCATTGCTCGCAGCTTACAGGGGGTCCGTATCTCTTCTCAGAGTTTGTACACCGCTGGCACTTGGTGCCAATGAAAGCAGCGATGATGTTGCAGTATTCGCAGGCTGTTGGCTGAATTGGAGAAAGATTCATATTGAGTCTATTGTACACGTGTGCAGTGCCCACTCAGGTGGTAGAAAGCCATACCTTTCCATAAGCTTTTACATTCTGCTCACACTTCTTGCAGATGACTCCTGTACCGACTTTGCCACTGTAAAATGGAAAAGAATAAAATAAAAGATGGAATGTTATTTTCAAATGACTCACTGCACAATATGGAGGTTCACTCTCATGCAATTAATCTCTCAAGATAACAGGAGTTCTTGAACTTGGGCAGAAAAAAGAATTGAAAATATCTGCTACTGCATCATTCCGTACCTCAGCAGTAACTGACAGCAAAATATTATCAGCTAGTCATCTCCTTAATGCATGTGAAGCACATACTCATTGGTTAGTACAGCTTGTATCTCCTAAGCAAAGGCATGGACAAAAATGTATTTAAGAAGAGAAATAAAGAAGGTGAGGTGTTATTGCAACAGAACAAATCGCATGTGCCCCAAGTGTTCTCATAGTTTGCATGCCTTTTTACACACGCAAAAGACGAAAATCACAATGTAGTAACATCTTCCCAACTGTCTGCAAAAAAAAAAAAAGTAGCACTTGCAGAGAGAAGAGAGAGAGAAATAACATTTATTGCACCCGTCTAGAATGACGGGGGAGGAGGCTGCGGCCTCTGCCCCCAATCATCCCCCTAACCATCGGCCGGAATCCCTTGGGACTCGGCGGCGGTCAGGGCGAGACCGATGACTTGACGCTGTTCTTCAGCGTCACGGCTGTGTAATAAGGCCTCCCAGGATTCTACGTTTCTACTTGTATCATTGTAGGATGGGCACGTCCATACCATGTGCACTAAACCCGCAGTGCTGTTGCAGTGTGCACATCTGGAGCTGAACACTTCCGGGTGCCATTTACTGTACAGGTGAGGGTTTGGAAACACCCCGGTTTGCAATTTTCACCACAAAATTTCCTCCTTTTTGCTCAGCTGTTTAGCTGCCTCTGGATAAATCTTACGGTGGAGTTTATAGTGTGCGGTGATTTCCTGAAACGTTCGTAGTTCGTCTCTTGTGGAGAGGGGCTGCTCACGCGAAGGCGGCGGGTCAGCGTCGATCGACCGGATAGTGAGCCCTCAGGCGATCGCGTGCGCCTTCTCATTCCCCTTCAGACCTTGATGGGCCGGGGACCATACTAGTGAGATTAGCTCTGCGGGTACTGGTCCTTGTCTTAAAATTTTGGCGGCTGTAGCAGAGATCCTGCTCATATCGTAGTTTTTAATGGCTGACTTAGGGTCGCTAACAATCACTCGAGTGCCTTTTTGAGCTATTGCCAAAGCAATCGCAAGTTCTTCTGCCTCTGTGGTGGTTGTGTTTTTAGAGGTGCAGCACGAGACCAGGTCCCCGTTCTTGCGAACCACTACCGCTGTGTTACCACTTGCACTTCCCCTGTTCCCCAAGCTGACTTCCAGAACACAGGGTGTTGCAGCACCAAGAGTTCACTGGGACGCCCGAGCAAGTAATGTCTCAGTTCCCGAATAATTCTTGCTTCACGGTTAAGTGGCCTTCAAGGTGACAATGATTGCGATTCTTGAGCATGCAGCGGTGCCTTAAGCCATTACGCTAAAAGAAAACTAAAAAGTAGCACTAAATACAGCATCACTGATTAAATGCACTGCCAAGTATACAGTATCGAGGTTACTATCTACAATGCCGACATTAGAAAATTAACATAACCAATATAAAAATGAGAAAGTACTCGTTTGGACAAAAAATGGTGGTTGTTTTGTTACTCACGACGTCGCTTATTAAGGGATCTGCAAGGTGTTCTGCAAATACAGGCAGTAATGTATAGTCACAGGAAGAATAATGTTTGCCACAAAAATAAGGCATATCAAATAGCAACCCATCTTATGGTCCATCTTGATATTATTTGTATGAAAATGAAGAGAAAAGAGCAACAGGAAGACTATCCGCATGTTTTCGCGTAAATATTATGAAGAGTGCGTGAGACTTATTCCAGCTAGGCCAACTTGCAATATTGCTTGATCAGATGATTCTGGTTAAATCATTGGGTGGTAGGTACAATGTCATGCTCCAATTTATTAAAAACGTTCAAAAATCAGCTGTAGAAATCTGTTCAAGCAACTCCTAGCTCAGCAGTCAAGCCACATAACCACCAGACCACCATGGCGAATTGCGGCCGAGTTTAGGATAAAACAGTAAGTGATCTAAACAGCTATGTCTACCGTTTAACCTGGTAGCACACCTGACAAGCAACAGTTTAGTACTGACACATGCATTGTCACATCAATGGGGATAGAAGCCCTTAAAGCTGTTTGCTCAAGTTGTTTGCAACAGTAGATAATACTAACCTTTCTTGCTGGTATTCGGTGCGGCAGTAGGTGCATTTGACAATGGGAAAAGCGCCGCGGCAATCCTGTCAAAAGAACCATAAAAAGAAGTAGGTGGGTATGAAAACATAATATTGATGCCAGGGCAAGACTTGTAATGGCACGGCAATAATGTGAAGGCACAGCTCAGTGTGTGGAATGAGCAAAATTTAGACATTGGAAGAAAAAGAAAACCATGTTTACATTTTTAACTTTGAACAGAGGCTATAGCGCAACCTCACAGCAAAATACTTGACTGACAAAAGGGGGACGACGCTCGTGAAATGCCAGCGATAGCCTAGCAAATCACACTTCCTCAAGTGTCATGCATGTTGATTCTCTTACGTTCACCTTGGGAAAGGGGCAACCAATCCCCAGTAGTGCATTTTCAGCAAGTGAAAGACTGGCCCATTGAACATATTTACTCAGAAGCAGCTCAATTTTCTGCCTTCGTTTCTACATTTTAGAAAATTGGCTATACAGCTTTAGAAGTTGCCATTTTTTTGATTGAGTATTACATTGCAGTGCTGAAAGTGCAACCAGCATTATTTTCTGGTAATAAATGAGAATACAGAAATCTTAACTACTGATCATTACTTTTTATGTAACTAATGAGACCAGAGACAAAGATTTGCACACAGACCTGAGGTGTTCCCACAATGAGCAGTGCCTCCACACACAACCTTCAGTTCATAAAATTCAGTGCCCATATTTTATTTACTTTTTATTATAGTAATATCATGCACACTGGACAGCTTTGTGTGTTGTTTTTCACCTCTTCATTTTTAGAACAAAAAAAAAAAAGATTGCTTCCATGTTACATCTTGAGAAGCTTACTAATCATGCTTTTTTATTACCTTCTTATTTATCAAATGACTGGTAAAAGTCAGAGAGCCTTCTAATCAAGGAGATTTTTTTAACCTATGACTAAGTTAAGACAGTTACCCGAATTCTGAGAGCTCATTTTCACGTGAAACGTCGCAAGAATGTCCACAACTAAAAGCATGAAATTAATAGGCATTCACTCTTGAAAATACAGACATTCATACTATGAGCGATTCTTTTTTTTTTATCATCCTTTGGTCAGCCACACACCTGAACTAAACAATAAACAAGTGAAATTTAGAGAGCTTTTTAAAGACCTTCTTTCATAAGACTAGGACATATAATAAAATATCATATTGCAATGGTTTCGTAAAGTTTATGTGGAATGCCAGAATATTTATTATTTCTAGCTCAAATTCACTCTGAATTTTTTTTGAAAGGGGAATATCTGACAGCGTCAAACTGAACAAAAATAATTTGCAATCATAAGGAGTAAATAAAATATTAATTCCTGTAAGATTTACACCACTAAAAAGTGAAACTATCTCCTTGTTTTCACTGCATGCTCAGGCTAACCCCATCACATAACCTAGGCCTTGGTTAGTAGTCAATATGCTGCTATCATCATTGCGAACTGAGCATGGTCGGAGAATGACCCGCTCGCAACCTTGACAATCGCCTAGGAGAGACTCAAAAACAACACACAGCACGGCCCAGTTGCTCAAGACAAAAGCCAATAGACAGAATTCGGGCAACGCCTTACCTTTGCCGAGAGGCACTGAGCTCTCTAGTGTGGAGGCACTCATCATGGTGGGCTTTACGAGCTGTGAGAGGGCACAAGAACAAAATCACCACCACACAACATCATCGCAACAATTGTGGCATATTATGGCCAAATTGTTGATGCAATTATGATGCAAGCTGTAGTGTAGATATAATTTCACATCTTGAATTTTTGAACAAGCAATTCGTATCACCCTTGTGTTTCTGCATTTCGTCTTCAGTGAACTATTGACATGGAAACCAACTGTGGAGCACCAAAGATGTGACAGGTCATTTCAATCATGAGTATATTATAATGATCGCTGTTGAAGGCACACGGTCATAAAGACTGTTACACACAATAGAGGCACCTTTGTTTTAAAGAAACACAGGCAAACCAGGTAACATTTAACATTGTGGGACCAAAATCGCCCCCAAAGTGTGCAACTGCTTTTGAAAGTGCAAGAGAGTACAGGAAGTGTGTTAAACCGCACTCAAATACATTTAAGGCGGGCAAAAAGAGCTGTGCAAGAATACCGTCAATAACAAGAATGATGCACACAACTTAGAAGTCTGAACAAGATGGCTCAGCAGCCAGCAAACAAATTTCGCCCATATGCAGGAAAGCATCATGATACTTTACGTATTTATAACAAACCAAGTATATTCAAGAGTAGTACGCGCAAAGTGGGAAGACATGTCAAGGACAAATTTATAAAAAGTTTACGAACTGGCATTGAGTCACAGATCCAATCAATGTTACAAGAGATATGAACAGAGCATGAAAATAAAGTTTTTCTTACCCACTCTAGGTGGCAACTGCTATAGACAAATAAGCCTAGCTAGAGCTAGCTGTGGTGGCCCATGAAACATTTGTACAGAACATAACACAAGTGGTTTTGCTAAATGCATGCACAGGAAAAGTTTAAAAAAATGTACGAACGAGAGTTTTGAGCAGAAAGAAAAAGGAGGGGGGAGTGGATGGTTCACATATTTTCAAATATGCCAAATCTTTCAGCATTATAGTCATTGTGTAAGTTGCAAAAACTGTTGCACAATAAACCCGAATTCGAGGCTACCTCGCCACTTGTAAGCATTCAGCGTTTCTTGCAGATCGAATGTCCTAACTTTCAGACAACGATAAAAGGTCATAAAACAGGATTTCAGAACAGCAGTTGCTGAAACTCTTGAGGAACATTGCAAGTACTTCCCACGCACTTGACATTTTTAGTTCCTCACAAAACCTGCCAAAGGAGTCAAAGCACCACAAAACAATAAAATTTCAAGTTAAAGCAGTGAATACACAAGGCCATCTGTACTGTATTAGGAAAATAATTCAACAAAACCAGGAATTAACAGCCCAATATCACTCACTACATAACCTACTTTGAGCGAGCAGAGACTGAACAGTGTCCCTGCAGATGAAGGCAATCTTGAAATCATGACAGGCCTCATGCTACAAGGCTCAACACAATCCAAAACTTTCACCACACATTGGAATGCAGAGTGTGAACACAAATTATGACATGCTAATACTATACAAGAAACTGCTCTGAATACACAAAAATCAAACTAGGAACACACCGAAAAAAAAAAATGAAGCAGCTAGTTTCGCATTCACAATGGAATGCTTTGTACAAAAGCATTTCACAACATTGTAAAAAAAGCAATAACTTGCTAACACACGGCACCACTTTGCAAGCAAAGTTACTACAGCCCACAACATGGTAGTTTTCTCAGTTATTCAGCATACTGACAAGTGCATGAGCAACATTTTGAATTTTTTACTTGGGGACACTCAAAAGCTTCATTCTAGAAACATTTCAAGGAACTGCGCCACTGCTACATAAGTACACATATTAAAGCATCCGAGTCCTTACCCGCACAAGTGCACCGACAATTCTTACAGGCCATGAAATCAAAAAATAAAAATAAGATGAACCAAGAAGAGTGCAAAAACTTGAAAAGAATATATCTGCACATAAATATGGCGATACACAATGTCTTCATTTTGTCAGCAACATAGCAGCATTTAGTTCTCAAATAGAGCATATCGTACCTGTTGCTCATAAAGTTTATCTCCTTTTACGCCCTCCACTTGTGGTAATCTCATCCCTTAACGGCTTACATTTGTAGCACGGCTTCATTACATATCTTGCTTGAGACTAGCTTACCAGGTGTTATACTACCTCTGGTTTCCGTACAGGGCAACACCATCACCTACCAACATTTTGGTGAAATGTTCAAAGTGATTTAGCAGCCCATTCAGAAGCCATTACTTGGGAAACCTTCACACAAACAGTGGAAAATTCTCTGGACATTTCCATGACCAGGAAATATGCACTCCCCAAAGCTACACTCGGTCCTACCACCCTTTTAAAAGCCACGAGTCATTACTCTGCTTGCTCACATCCCTACATGAACCTGTTCCACATGCATTCACTAAGGGTACGCATAGACAAAAATACTTGCATTCGTTCCAGTGCCATCAAGACTAACTCACGAAGAATGAACTCATCCCTCACTCTTAGAAGAATAGCTCGACTTCAACTTGCATAAACAAGCAATTACTGCTGTTGATGCCTCTACTCAAAAAGCACTCGCATGTGCTCTAACGTGCCAGTCAATTCAGTGTGGACCGGGTATGAGCCAGAGTATTCATGAGTATGCCATGCTGTTTTTACCACTTTTTTTTTCTTTAATGAAAGCATTTCGAGCTGTACCATGGCAGGGACTAACACGATTAACAAAACCCTTCAATGGCCTCCCAATCAAAACAATTATATGCCATGCTGATTATTCCATGGAAATAGCACTCCTGAAAGTGTTAAGCTGAATTTTTTGCATAACTGTATGGTTAGCAAAAGGTTTAATGTAAGAAACAGCTCTCAATATGGTTTAGAAAGACAAACGTAGTTGCAAGGACAAGGCTATATATCACCACGCCACTTTTAAAATGTGTGAGTGTGTGTGTGTTTAGGTAATGCATTGAGGAATAAATAAGTAGGCAACCATTCCTGCTTATTATAACCCGCTGGCAGCTCTGTATTGCTTGCACCTTTCAGATTACAATTCTATAAGTTCGACTTCTTGCACTTATGGCAAACAAAAAAAAAAAACTAGGCTATATGAAGAAACAAATTTGCAGTGATTCTTAGGCACCACAAGGTATAGGCAATAATAGATTCAAGTTCTCAAAAAATACTCGAAACACAGCCGAACACTTACAGCAACAGCAATTTCATGAAGCCGATTCATGCTGTAGTTATGGTCTATATTTAATCTGGCCGAGTGCGGTGGTGTTTTACGGGAACGTCACATACAAGCAAGGGTTTTTCCTCAGCGTTTTCGCCTCCATCGAAAACGAAGCCGGGATTCGATACCGCGACCTGTGGATCAGCAGCAGAGTACCTTAGCAACTAAACCACCGCAGCGGAGTGGCTATGAAAGATGTGCTAGTGGTGTGTTCACGTGAGCATGTTTTGGAGGAAGTTATAGCTGATCTATAATGCTTTTCATGGAATGCTTACTGTAAAACTGGAGATTTTATGGTTATTTGAAGTCGCACATTACCTATACAACCTTGTGCTTTCAGTGAGCAATGCAGCACGTTTCAGAAACAGGAAGGACTCATCTGACAGTGTCCAGTAGGCCATAATTATATTACCTTCCATGCTATATTTGACATCTTCTGCAAAATTAAATAATTGGCTACACTAATACAGGAATGCAAAAACGTACAGGGTGCCTACAGGGTGCCCTTTTTTTAGATGACCTTAACTTTTCTGCGTCAGCTGCAAGCAATGAGAAAAGCACTACATTGTATTGTCTTATGCATTAAATGGACTATGGAACGGTGCAGAGTGAAGTGTGAGGAAAGCATTGTCTAGATGTTTCCTGCATGCAAAAATCTCTATCATGATCACAACCTGCTAATTTTATGGCATATTCGGTTGGCCGCTTTGATCCTCTGGCTCAGAGTTGCCAAATTCAGAGGCAGCATGCCAACCGTTCCGTCGGCGATCTCAGAGGAGCTGTGACTAGGAGCTGGAAGCGGCCGGCTAGACATTCTTGCTACCGTCACTAACAATGCACGTGCCCCGTGATGTCCTCTTCTGAAATGCGTCCTCGCACTGTTGGCACTTTTCAACTGGTACATCTGCCAACAGCCATGCGATTTGCCCAGACAAGTCAGGCGATCCGTCCTGGTCAGATCGTGCCACACTCACTTCGAAGTCAGAGCAGTCGGGAGTGCTTCGAAAGAATCAAACTAAGGTAGTCCTGAGGATTCTAAGAACCGAAGGTGCAGCCACTTTTCACAGTGCTCTAGAGTGCTCGTAAACAGCCAACTGAATACACCATTAGATGCAATGGCGAAATGAGAGGGCTGTGTAACTTCTCCACTGCTGTAGTGCTCCACTGCAGTTGTGGAGCCCTAGGGAAAGTTTTTCAAATGGGTGTGCACTCAAATGCGGGAATCCGTGCAATTTCGCACGTGCACTCATCTGTCTGTGCAGTAGATCGTGTGTTATACTAATTATTCCAGTAGATTCCAGTTACTCTACAAGCACTGCTGACAGAGGACTCTTGCAAGAGTCTGAAATGTAACCTGATCAGCTTCCTTCTACATTCAGCGGGTGGCTGCCACAGCAAGGAATTCAAACCTACTAGATTAACAAAATTCAGCTTCCATATTAGAAACACCTGAGTTTGTCATAAACAGTGCGACTTTCACAGACGACTCCATAATTCAAGCACGGCGTTTTAGATAACTATGAATTTGCAGAACCAGGTGGGAGTGGCACTTTGATATGTGGGGTTTAACGTCTCAAAATCACCATATGATTATGAGAGACGCCGTAGTGGAGGGCTCCGGAAATTTCGACCACCTGGGGTTCTTAAACGTGCAACCAAGGGGGGAGTGGCACTTTCCTTCATTCAACAGAAACTGCACCATCTCGCTATGAAAACTCGCGAGCAGCTTGTTTTAACGGAACTCGTTCGAACGACACGGACTAGGCGTGTCAGGAAATCAAAGCGGAGACTACGTGCGCCGTATCTCGTCACACCAACCGAAGCCTACGCTACTCAATTCATATTTCACCCACTCCGATTAATAGCGCAGCGTTTATCTTTTGCGACTTGCTCACGCAAATGCGAAAAAAAGGCTTGCAATATCACCGCACGGAAACCTAAGCGGCCATCATGATTCACTCTGACGTCAAACGAGCATCTGATGTGAGGTATCCCCACCTATTAGCATCCCGCACGATATAGTGCGCATGAAAAGTTTGACAGATGAGTGCGCGTGGAAAATTGCACGGATAACCGCATTTGCGCGCACGATAAATTGAAAGCGTAGCACGCAATGAAACAGTAACACTGGCCTTTCATACCACACACCAACGGAACCAAACATCGTAGAATGTCTCATTCTTATTCTTCTAAACGCATCACTCGAAATAACCAAGAAGTGGGCATAAGGTAACGTAAAACGCATTTACTCGAAACATTGTTGTAAACAAGCTTTTTTTGTTGAATCAACTGGACGCAGATGCACTAAGCCTAATGATAAAAAAAAGGAAAAGGAAAACGCAGCCGGCGATGATCGATGTACGCCGCGATTTCTTCCCCAAATGCACTATACCTTTTCAAGAATATTGTACGTAACGAATTTGAATTACAGTAAAGGAACAAGAAACTTGAGGCACTGTTCACCTACTTTACAAAGCTGCTGCCCTTGAGAAAGTTCTTCGAATGGGTGTCGTGCGTTGCATCTTGTGCATGCGAACAACGCTGAGGCCATGTAAAATGCTGTTAGCACTTATAAAACAAACGGATTGGGCCTCTCCAGGTCAACGATACCAGAAAGAAATGCACTGTTTTCAACAGCAACTACGCCTTGCTCCGAAAGTCTCAGATGTCAGTGGCGTCCTCCGACGATTTGTGTAACAACAAGCGTTAACAATAGCACAAAATAAAAGCGTCAGGTCTCACACTTGGAAAGTGGCGCTAGTAGTCGCATAAAATTGCTAGCGTATCAAAGTTCTTTTTTTTCTTCTAAGCAATGATTTAGTTTAGTCTGCAACGTTCCAGCCACGTATGTCCAACAGTCACAAAACTCTTGAGCTTGATGAGATTGTTGATTTAGGTATCGTCTAAAATGTCATGAGGTAAACGCAACGGTGGTGCACCCATGTTGAACACGTTGTAGCCTGATGTGTTGATAGAAATGAGGCTTAAAACAATTCCCAAAAGCTTGATGATCAGTCCAGGAACAGCCTGTAAGATAGCAAATAAAGTTGTTGCAATTAGAACGGAATGCGACAAAAACGCAATGGAGTCGCTCAAAGCAACACGTACCATGTCGGTTGTCTTGATGAACTTCTCGGCGAAGACTATTTCATTGCAGACGCAAGAACGCGGGTACATGATTGACAGCGTTCCAGCGTGGTAAACGGCAAGGATGAAGTACATTGGATGCACCTGCATGATGTCAGCCTGTCGCAGGAAAAAGAAAACATCGACATCGATACGAACGAAACATCAATACGATCAAACGAATGAATGTGCTCAGAATTTCAATTTAAGCAACGACGTGTGTCCCACTGAATCAGCAATATCCAGGAGCAGTACTGCGCGAGGTAAGGGACTTAGCGCGAGGTGTGCACGAGCGCCTGGTGGTGGTTCGGCAGCTGTCATATCTGCGGCAGCGGAGCGTGGGCGCCCTCATTGTGCAACGAACATGGAATCCGAGATTAGTTGTCAAGGTTGAGATTGCATGCGCACACTTGCTGGCTAAGTTTCCGAGCCAAATTCGCTTTTTTGAAGACGACGTTTCAGACTGTCTACAAGTCTTTGACATTTTTTTTAGAAGTTTCTGTAGATCTAGAGTGTACTAGAAGCTTTTGAGTGGCGCGAGCAGCTGCCTGGGAACGGCCGTTTCGGCGTGGAATGATGCGGTGGCGCTGGCGTCGACCAATCTACCCGGGCGGATGGCTGGCAGGCGTTCCGCGTACGTGTTGGTACCTCTCTGTCGCGCCTAGTGTGAAGATGATCTCCCTCTTTTTTTTTTCTTATTCACATACCTCCCCTTTTTCGCGCAAATAAAGGTTATTTGACATTATTGTTATTGAAGTTGCTGAGGCCCGCACTGCATCCCGAAGCAGCATAGCACATTGTACAATATAACGAGCGCGTTTTTTTTTAATTTATAAAGTGTACACATTTTAGACGAGAAACCAGCTGGCCAGTACGCACCGGAAGCGCCCCCCCCCCCCAAAAAAAAAGGAATATGGTGCACACAAAACGAAGAACTCTTGGTCCATTCCATATAAAACACCAAAGCTGGACTCAAATAAAAGGCTCATTGCTTGTGGCTGCGTGCACACACGACAAAAAAGTAGGCTTTATTGATAATATTTGAAGAACAGCAGAGTATTTCCAAACATCCCTTTGGTTTTAAAATATGGGAATAGATTCATTGTTGTAGGACCCACAGAAATACTGCAAAAGAATGTCTTCGGTGAAACATAGTAGTGGAAGATTTTGAGAGTTTAAAAAACGCAACAACACTGCAAAGCACGAACGGTTCACATTGCACGATTCCATTGTCTGCACAGGTGAAGTATACGGCTCGTTGAATGCAAAGTTCACGAGTGCTAGGATTCAGTGAGCACGCTACGTACGACACGCCAGCAAATCCAGGAAACTCGTGCAGCGCCCATGACTTTGATGGTAGGACAAGACCACGAAGGTCACCGAGAGTGACAACCGCGTCAGACGAGGGACTTGAGCTTGCCCCGTCAGCTTCGTCGCCATCTGCAGAAGTTGCACCGGTTGTGTCCACAAAAAGCTGTGCAGGAGTGCTAATGCGTCGCTGTTCTCTGTTGTCATTCTCAGCCGGCACACACTGATGACGCCGCTTTGTTTGGGTCCGCGGAGCCGGAGTTTTGAGCGTCAAATATGCAGGCAGGTTGGGCAAGATCGTCGGGACTGCATCAGGGGCGAGTGTCGGCGCTCCCCTAGGAATTCGGACTTGAACACTATTGATAACATGTACGTAGTCTCTCACAATGAAATGCGGTTTGAAATGTAACTCGCACGCAGCACAATCGGCATCAAGCGGCTTGTCAAGCCGATGGAGGTTCCGCTCCCAAAGAAGTCGTCGTTCTTCGTCTTTCGAGGCCTTAAAAAGTGATAACTTCCGACTTTGTTGCACACGCGGATATCCAGTTGTGCAACCTGGCGCGTAAAAATCGTTTAGACGCTACTTCTTCGTCATTTCGCGACTAAAACCGAGATGCCGGCCATGCCGCCGAGCCAGCCGAGTAAACCAAGTGGGAAGATTGGGCGATGGCAGCGCCGCCCAATCTTCCCACTTGGTTTCAAAATCCCGGGATACCTAGTAGCGTCATCACATTCAGGAGGAAGGGGAGTTGCCACACTTATCAGCAAAAGGTACAATTACCTATCGCGTGACCTCAGTGCAGTTGCCGATGGCATTGAGTACGTAATGACTGAAATTATAATGAACTCACCCAAGAAGGGTCTTCGAAGAAATAGCCTTTTTATTCTCAACGTATACTGCAGTCCCAGTTATCGCAGGGCGAGAGCAAAATCTCTCCTCAAAAGGGCTGTGAGCATGGCCAGTAGTTACCCCCTTGTAGTTGTAGGGGATTTCAACGCCCCACACAGCGTGTGGGGATACATGTATGATACCCCAAAAGGACGTGAGCTATGGCAGACTGCGACAGAAGCCCACTTAACGCTTATAACTGACAAGGATTTCCCCACTAGGAGAGGTAACTCCATATGTAGGGATACCACCCCGGACCTGACTTTTGTGAAGAATATAGATGGGGTCAAATGGGTCAACATGGCTCTAGACGTCGGAAGTGACCACTACATCATCGAGGTATCCTTCGCGATTGCCCGCTTTAGGACAAAAAAATTCAAGGTGGTCGACTGGAACGCTTTTCGCAAAGTCAGAGCTGAGAGAGCACCGATGGCTGGGACAGACTTTGAAGGATGGTACAAAGGAATCAGAGATGACGTCACGGCAGCGACCAAGGAGGTCGTCACTGACCTCGATGTTGAAAACATGGACAGCAGGTTGGCACACCTACTAGAAGCCAAGCAAGCCCTACTCACGAGGTGGAAGGGACAGAAGCATAACAGGAGGCTCCGCAAGAAGGTTTCCGAGGTTAACAGGGCGATCGAGGAGGACTGCAAAACCTTGTGTAAACAACAATGGCATGAGCTCTGTGAGAGCATCGAGGGTCAGCTCAGATCTGGGAAGAGCTGGGCTCTTCTCAAACATCTTCTCGATCAGGGCAGCACCAGGTCCACTCAGAGGCGATCACTCGCGCGAGCCATCCATCTTGCTACTGACTCTACCCCGGACGAATTGGTTGTCAACAAGCTTATAGACAGGTATCTGCGAGTCGCGGATAGCTCTGCACCCACACAGTTCCCAGACTACGCGGGGTGCGACGTGCCGGAGTTGGACCAGGACTATACAGTGGCCGAGATACGGCAGGCTCTCTTTTCCCTAAATGCCAAATCCGCCCCTGGCCCTGATGGCATAACCAACAAGATGCTCAAGAACCTTGATGATGACTCCATCGAATTCCTTACGGAAAAGATTAATGAGGTGTGGCGCAGTGGGGAGGTTCCCGCACAATGGAAGACGGCCTACACAGTTCTAATCCCGAAACCTGGTAAAGCACCAGGAATAGATAATCTAAGACCGATTTCCTTAACTTCCTGCGTCGGTAAGGTCGCAGAGCACGCCCTTCTGAACCGACTCAAGGTGCACCTCGAGACCAATGACATGTACACCCACAATATGATTGGTTTCAGAGCTGGTCTCTCGACACAGGATGCCATGAAGCTGATAAAGCATCAGATCATCGACCGGAGCACAGGAGATACCAGAGCCATCCTTGGATTAGACCTGGAGAAGGCTTTCGACAACGTTTCTCACGAATTAATTCTCCAGTCTATTGCCAGCCTAGGGCTAGGGAAGAGGGTCTACGACTTCGTGAGATCCTTTCTTTACCAGAGAACTACCAAGCTGAAGATCGAAGGGTACTTCTCACGAGAGATCAACCTCGGTTCACGCGGCACGCCTCAGGGCTCAGTTATTTCACCAACACTATTTAACATCGTGATGATCGGGCTCTCCAAGGAACTCGCGAAGATTCAAGGAATCAATCATACCATCTACGCAGATGATATAACCATCTGGTGCAGCGGCGGGAGCGACGGTCAAGTTGAGGAAGCCATGCAGCACGCAATCGACGTGACCGAACGTTTCCTCCGTCCCACCGGTCTCAAGTGCTCCCCATCGAAATCTGAGCTTCTGCTCTACAAGAAAAGAACCCGAGGCGGCGGCCACCGTGACTGGAAACCCGCGTCTCAAAATGAAATACGGCTTTTCGCTAGTGACGGGTCCCCAGTGCCAAGAGTGGATTCGCTCCGAATATTGGGAATGTATATCGAGTCCAACGGCGCTAACGGAGCTGCACTGAGACAGATCACTACCAGGACGGAAAGTGCTCTCGGCCTCATCCGGAGGATCACCAACAGACACCGCGGAATCAAGGAAGACAATCTCATCCGCATCATACATGCGTTTGTGCTCTGCCACCTTTCGTACTCGGTGGCCATGTATAATTGGCTTGTTGCAGAAAGAAGTAAGCTCAATTCCCTCATAAGAAAGGTTTTCAAGCTCGCGCTCGGCTTGCCTGTAAGCACTGGCACAGAAAACCTTTTCAAGCTCGATGTTCACAATACACTCGAAGAGATAATCGAGGCACAAGAGCGCTCACAGCTGCTCAGGCTTTCCGGAACCAAATCGGGCCGCAAGATACTCGATGATTTGGGCCTCAACTCTATTGACCAGTGCCCCGATTCCATGCAGATTCCCAGAAACATCAGGTCTCAGCTGCGCATCGCACCCATTCCCCGCAATATGCACCCTGCGCACAACGTCGGTCGGCGTAGGGCCAGGGGTAGAGCTCTGCTCGAGCACGTCCGTAGCGACCCCACTGATGCAAGCTTTGTGGATGCTGCGCCATATGCCCAACAAGAGGAATTCGCTGTTTCCATCGTCGACTCAAATTCCAGGCTCACTTTCTCCGCCACAGTACGCACATCGAAGCCCGTGATAGCCGAACAGGTTGCGATCGCGCTGGCTGTGCTAGATAGTCGCAGAGAGTAAATATACAGCGACTCCAAGGCGGCTATCAAAGCCTACGAAACCGGGATGGTACCCCCTCAGGCCCTCCGCATTCTCCAAAGCGTCAAGAGTATCACGCCCCATTCTCTCACTTGGTTTCCCGCTCACCTGGGGTCGATTGAGGGCCCTACCTCTAACCCGTACGAGGGCGCCCACGAGGCCGCGCGAGGACTCACTGACCGTGCTGCCTCCACAGTCCCTCTGCCTCGCTGGGAACCCTTACTTACGTTCAACGAAATAACAAAGCACTTCTATCTGTCAAGAAGGGTATTCCCTCTCCCACACCCGGCCTTGTGCAGGGCGCAGGCAGTCACCCTAAGACTATTGCAAGCCAGTGCGTATCCTAACCCTGTGGTTCTTCATGCCATCTACCCTGAACGGTATCCAAGTGCGGATTGCCCCG